GAGTGTGTACGCATTTTCCGGTGTCTACATCCCAGACCTTGACCGTTCTATCTTGTGCCACACTAGCCATTCGTAATTTATCCATCGTCAATCCCCATATTCCTTCTACGTGTCCAAACAGTGTCCGAAGACACCGTCCAGTTCTCGTTGACCAAATTTTTATAGTGTTGTCCAACGAGGCTGATACTAGGATCGGTAGATTACTGTGATCATGGTAATCGCTATAAACACTATCGCAGTCATCTTCGTGATTTGAGCATTCTTCGAGACCTGTATCTTTGAGACCTGTGTCTTTGGTGCTTGCTACGAGGCTAGAAAAGAGAGATGGTGGTGCAGGTAAAACGCATTGAACTTGAGCGACGTGGCCTTCAAGTTTGCTTATGCATGATCGTGTTTTCAGGTTCCAAACACGTATTGTCATATCATCGGAACATGAAAATAACAAGGTCTGCTGATAAATGGCTACCTTATTAATCATCTCGCAGTGTCCAGTCAATGTGAAGCATTCTGCTGTTTGGAAATTCCAGACTTTTATCTCTGCATCCACCGATCCGCTGACCAAAATATGTTCATCAAAGTGCAGACAATTAACACCGGAAGTATGTCCTTCCAGGGTACGAACCAATTTTCCAGTATGGTGATTCCATATCCTGAGTGTCTGATCCATTGAACACGTGATAAGTTTAACATCATCAAATTGTAAACCACGAACACATCGGCGATGCCCTTTAAGAACACGAACCATTTCACCAGTTTCAATATTCCAAATCCTGACCGTGGCGTCATATGACCCCGTAATCAGAGTGCCGTTATCATCTAACTGCATGCACATTACATAATCTTCATGGCCTTTTAATGTGCGACATGTATAAAGACCTTTACGCCAGTTTTGTTCAACTGCAAGACGTTCACTAAAGACATCTTTCCATGGTCGTCTTTGGTTTGATCCTAAAAGCGGTTTATCCAGTGGAGGAAATAACGAAACAGAAGTTGGATCCAAAGCACGAAGGCGCTTAGACTCACGTTTCTCATTGTGTGTAAAGTATTCCGGGGAATTCGGAATTGATGCGCACGGTGAAGCGTTTAATGATAATGACGGTGAAGAACTTGGTGATAAAGTTTTATTTGAATGTCCCTGAAAGGATGATTCATTATGGTAACTATGATAATGAAGTGGTAATAAATCGGCACTATTTCTCTTAGAACATAGTCGTTTATCCCTAGATTTATCCCTAGTTTTTCGCTTACGTTCCAATAGAGGAAGACCCACCCCACATTTCGTGCACTTTTTATCAATATGTTGCTCACACATTTTTCTCCAAACGACATCATCGTCTGCCAAGCACTTCCAAGTCTTGGAAACTTGTGCAACATTATACAGCGACTTCGCATCAAGAAACGACAAAATCTTAAATGATAATTCACTAGGAAGTGCATTGAGAAAATCGATGCGAATCAAATCTTTCAGATTATTTGAAAGAAATGATAGTTGTGAGAGACAGCATGCGTTCAGAATTCCTTGTAGAATTAGACGCTGATTTTGTGCTGGTGCAGCAGAAAATATTGACCAGACGTGTTTTATGGATTCTTGATCTGATAGTGAAAG